GGAGCCAGACACTTTGATTTCAAATCCCTACTCACAACTATTAGATATGTGAGCACACTCAGTTAACATTGCTACCTGTTTTCCGGTAAACCTCAATGAGTTGCTGTGAGGATTTAGAACAGGTAGTTTGGCTAAGGTGCTTCAGACAGTGCCTGGCACATGCTCGTGCGTGTTTATACTAACCCACATCTTTGCAGTCTCCGGTGTTGTGTAGAGCCTCCCACAGGACAGGTGATTTGGTTACATGAAGGCTCTTAGCAGGAATCCCCTAAGGGAAGCAAGGGACGCTGTGGCAACTGGAAATAGAGCCAGTTTATGATCTTCCTTCCACATCCCTCAACTCCCATTCCCAAACATTTATTGCTGGCCCAATAGGTTCCATCCATTTCTACCCCTGCGGTTCCATTCTCCCCTTCCCCCAGACCCCTCCTCCCTGGAATCCCCGTAGCTGTCCCAACAGCCCCCTTGCCCACTCCCCACTAGATCCCTGCCCTCCCTGGCACCCTGGGCACCGCTATGCTCCTCTGTCCAGGTTTTGCATTCCTGCCACTTGCTCCACCTCAAGGGTATTCAACACCGGCCACAATTGCTGGGAAAATTACAGCCTCGGCTTGGTCAGCTTCTGCTGTTAGCCTCTCCATCTCCCCCGACTTGCTGCTCCCATGTGGTGTGATTTCTCTCACCAAGTGTTGTTTTCCTTTTCTCTGCCTGTGTTTGCACGGAATGCCATGAATTTGATATAGTGATTGCCTAACACATATACCACATAATAGTATTTTATTTCTTTCTGAAGCACTGTTTGCATGACAAATGAGTTGGTAACATTTGTGCAACTCCTGGCAGCTGTGCAGTTCAATATATAAAGAATGAGCCTTTCGGCATCAGTACTGGCCCCATGTATTCTAAGAGGGCTTGAAACTAATGCTTAAACAAAGTTATCATTACAGCATTTCACAGAGTTATGGTCTATTTTATCACAGTGGATCTCAGGGTGATTTAAAAATACGGACTGAGCTGGAACCACCCCCAGTGGTGGCACGAAGTGTGGGCTTTGTCAGCTTCCTTGTGTTTGGGGACACTGCTGTCGCTCCACACATCCAGGGTCAGGTGGCCCACAGTCCCTCCCACAGAACGCTGTTGTCTTCCCTCTGGTGCAGAACCACCGTGCTTGCAGTTGTGAGCCTTGGCCACCCATGGCCAGCTCTCCTACCTCCATGGTGGCTTCTGGCTGTCGATGGCCTTGTCTGGCAGGAACTTACAGGCAGACATTTGGGTGTGCGCCAAGGGGCACCCAGTGGCCACTTAACAGCGAATTTGCTGATCAATGCTCCCCTTCCCTGCCCTCTCTGAGAAGGAACCTCGCAAGTTAGGCGTTCCTCCCAGTTCACCCTGAACTTGAAGCTCCAGTGACGTTCCTGCCCAGATTTATAGCTCTTTGGTTTAGTGAAGTTGGCCTGTTGCCTTTTGCTTTCCTCCGCACAACTATCCGCTCCCCTCTGCTTGGAAGGGCTCGACCTCAGCTCTTCTTTGCCACCGCTGCCCCTTCAGGAGCTGCCCATGAAGCCTGTCGGGGCTTATTGGAGCCAGCCTTTCTGTGCCTTTAGCCTGGCTCTCCTGCTGGGCCTGTCCACCACGGGAAGGCATATTGTAAAGAAAAGGGCAATATTGCAAAATCAGAGGCTGCTCTGCATGCCTTCCTTTCTCGTCATTTTGCTGTGGGGTGTTTTTTTTTTAAGGTGAGCAGCAGCTCAGGCTGTGGTCGGTCTTCCTGATGTATTAAAGGCAGAGGAGGAAAAACAAGCTCCAGTGTCTAAATCTACTTAGTAACCACATCCACACATTTAGCAGAGGCGAAGGGCTGCTCGGAGCACGCTCTGGATTCCCGGAGGGCTGCCACGCTCCCTTCCGTCCCGCTGACCTCTCTCTGTCTTGGCAGAGCCTTATAATAATCACGGCTATAAATCTTTCAGTGGGTTCTATTCTCCTCCTGCTGCAAAAAGCCCTACACACATTTATCAGGTCCTCAAAAGATGCTCAGGGACCAGGGACTTGTCCTTGATCCACCTCATCAAGGGCCTCATATATCGCCTCAGCTACTCAGGGCTTCCTTCAAACTACATCATAGGTGGCATTACGGTGGGGGCAGGGCACTGGGAGACTGTGGTTGAAAAGAGGGGGCATCTGGGTCTCAGACTTGGACTGGAATGACCCCAGGAGCACCCCGCTTCTTGTTGCTCCAACTCAGTGCCTTATGGAAGAGGAAGTTACTCTTTTCATCTCTCTCTAGGTCTGGGGGTGTGACAGCTAAGGGGGAAAATGGAGTCACAGAGCATTACCAGAATGGTATTTCATACGCTCTTGAGAATTAAACAAAGCTCTCACTCTTTTGACTGCTCTCACACTTTGATATCCATGAGTAAGAGTTCCTTAAAGGCACGGAATACATTACTCAATGTCAATAACAAATTGTGTATGAAGAAAAATGTAATGCTTTGAGAATATTTTCTTTGGAGCTTTGTCCATGATTAGATTATACTAAATTACAGCATATAGATAGCAGGCAATTAATCTTTGCTTTTTTTTCCTTTTTTTTTTTCTTTAGATGGAGTTTCATTCTTTGTTGCCCAGGCTGGAGTACAGTGGAATAATCTCAGCTCACTGCAACCTCCACCTCCCCAGTTCAAGCAATTCTCCTGTCTCAGCCTCCTGAGTAGCTGGGATTACAGGCATGAGCCCCTAGACCTGGCTAATTTTTGTACTTTTAGTAGAGAAACGGTTTCACCATCTTGGCCAGGCTGGTCTCGAACTCCTGACCTCAGGTGATCCGCCCTCCTCAGCCTCCCAAAATGCTGGGATTACAGACATGAGCCACAGTGCCCAGCCTACTCTTTGCTTTTAACTATTCAATTTCATGGCAAATCCACATAGCTCAGTAATGCTAAAATCACACTGCTGTGGTTACTCAGAAAATACCTCATCATCTCCATTTTGTGAAGCTAGGTTTAAGTTGTGCTGTCATGACCTGTGGTCCTGTTAAGTGTAAGGTACATTCCTGACGAACACGGGCTAATCCCTACCTCCCTGTAATTGCCAGGTATCCGGAGAGATTCTTGCAGATGTTGCTGGAGAAGCCTGGGTGAGGCGTCTTTGCCCTCCTGGTTACTCTGGGTACCCTCCCTGTCTGATCCTGGCTGGTCTCCAGTCCTGCTTACTCTCTTGCTTTAACCAGGAGCATGTCTCTTTTCTGTTTTCTGAAAACGTGGTCGTTTTCTTTTCACTCAGCTCACAGAATCCTCCCCAATCTACTCCCAGTTTTAATTTCTTCCAAGGCTGTGGATATCCCATAAGCAATCGAGTCAGCTGTCCTGGAAACTGGAGGGTTTGTTGGTGAAAAAAGAATTATTTGAGCCAATTGTGAGAAATCGAACAGTGGCAGGAGGAGGAAAACGAGAGAAGGAGCCGACACATCTAAACAAGCGGCCAGGGCACTGTGCATACAGATGTAGGTGGTAGCGGGGTCCCTGTTTCGGCTCATTACCAAGAAGCACATCAGAGGCCGCGGGGTGAGGGTTGGAGCTGTTGGGAGGCAGTGCTGAGCTTTGAATGGGGCTTTTCTGCACCAAGGACAGTACCCTCTCCCTTCCCCAGTGCTGTAGCTGTGGAACCAGTTCCCACCTAAGCAGTGCAGACCGCCTGGGCACAGTCTCCTGGGGGCTCCATGTCCCTCCGTGGTGGGTGTCTATTTCAATAAGAGACTTTTCCACACCCACAATCTCAGGGAAAATTCCCCAGCCGGTGTTGGGGCTCCTCCCCAGAAATGGGCACCCTCTGCTGGTGATGGGGAAAGGCGGTCTTGCTACAGGGACAGATTCCAGCCAAAGGTGAGGTTTTCCCCAGGGAAAGAGACCACCGTGAGCATCTCGTTTCTCTGCGTCTTGGAGTATGTTACAGAAAATGGGGTGAACTGGCATGGTGGAGCTTGGAAAGGCAGGGAGGAGTCTTGGATCCAGAACTTCCCAGCAGCAGGCTTTATAGATTTCCGTGTCTCCCCCGCTGCCCCCTGCATGCCCTCCTGCCTCAGCCCTCTCTCTCTCTCTATTACAGGGCATCTTGGCAGCATTTCCTGGGAATGGGCGGCTGCTCCGGGGTTGATCAGGATATGTGCTTGAAGGGTGTGTGAATGTGCAGCGTGACCGGGGTGGGAGCCCATGCAGGTTTGGGTGTTTCTCAGGAGAATTCAGAACACCTCAAATGAGGGCCCCTTGTTTAGCATTGGAGTTCTTCTTCCGGTAACTACTTTCTGTGGCTAAGCCTGGGTGGAAACACAGAATGGACACTGTGTCTAATTGCTGATAACCTATGGATGGAGGGAGCTGCAGTTCTGATGTGGCCCCAGTTTATAAATAAATGAACATTCATTAATGTAAAATTAAATTAGAATGAAATTTCCCATCCAGTTTTGTTGAGAAGGCAGAAATAAGTGGGTTGGCTGTGTAATTCTGCTGCAGATGCTGGAGCTGGTGGTCACAAGGTGATAATAATAATAGTCATTTGCTCTTTGCTGGTGCCTCCATCCCAGCTCTCAAGGCAGATATTGCCACCTTGCTTTTGCACAGGCTCATTGAGCTTAAAGGCCTGGCTGGAAGTTACTCAGCAAGGGGTTGAGTGCAGAGGCCCTAAAATTCTCTAACCCATTAGACCTTGAGCGTATCAGTAAACTACAAATGGATACCTGGGAGACCTGAATTCCAGTCCTCATTCTGTCACCGACTCCATGTCTGGGCAAAAAATGATCAGTTTCCTCACCTATCATGGAAGGGCCAATGAGAATCTTCCAGTTGTTTGGATCTGAGTTAATATTTGAACTTAGAACTCACAAAAGGCGCAGAATGCTAATACAAAGCATCATTTATGGCCAGCTTTCTCTGAGCTTTACTTTTACCCCTTTTTCTCGAGACCTGAGTTTGCCCTTTGGAAATTAGAATATTAAATAAGAGTCATTTCTGTATATTTCATGCTTTATTTGCTGGAGGGGGATTTGCTTTGGAAAGGGTGTTTTCCTTCCAAGCCCAGCTGGCAGGCTGTGCAAATTCCCAGGGCCTCACTCAGGTGGAAGGGGCCTCCCAAATCTGTCCACCTTCTTCCCAGCGTGGCCGTCACTTGGTTGCTGGGGAAGAGCAGAGGTTTGCAGCTCAGTATTGTCTGAGGTCTGCTTATGAAACTGCCCTCTAAAACCTGGCTGCAGGTTGGAGGGAGGAGGGGGGCACCAGGGCAGGCTGGGCAGGAAAGTGGGAGGTTTTGCAGGGAGCCTGGAAGCTGTCTGTAGCCTGGGGCAAGTCATTTAGCCTCCCAGTTTCTCCATCTCTTAACAGCACTTCCTCGAGTCTCTCCTCTCCTCTTGGGGACTATGAGAAGTAATTAGTGGCTGTTTGTCAGAGGAGATATAGCTTTGCTCAGGTACCGGGCAGACCTTGAACTGGGCAAGGCTAAATGGGGCTCAGGACTTGAATTTGCAGAACGAATGGGCAGGGGAAAACCGCACCAGGGTTTCCTTCGGAGCAATCACCCTGTGGTGGTATTTTGGGAGGGAGTGAAAATATCTGGAGCAGGGAGTGGGGTGGGTTAATGGGAACCCTGCCTGAGAACCACCTCCCTGGAGAACTGGGACTCCACAGCCACCAGCAGGTATCCCAGCATAGCCCAGGCAGAAGACAGCTTCACATTCTCAAGTACAAAGCAGCCAAACAAATCCTGCCCTGAAACCCTGCCTCTGGAGTATTAATGCCAGGGTGGGCGGAGGCCAGCCTCGCCGCAGAGACACCCGCCCTCCCTGTACCGTGCTGGGGCTCATCTCGCTCAGCAGCTCTTCTAGGGCGGCCCGGTACTTTTCCAGCTGCCTGGAGTTCATCCTTATTCCAATTTCCACAGGAGCAGTCAGCTGTGAAATAAGGCAGTGTTAACAACCAGGAAGAGGTGTGGAGAGGGCCCTTAACCCCTGGGTATCCTACAGGTGGCAGGAGGGACCCATGGGAGCCACGCCACCCTGTGGACCCCATCTAGGGATGGCTGGGAGTTCTGCCACCTTCCCCTAATTCTAACCAGAGGGTTGAATCCTGAAGGTCGCTGAGTCCTGCTGAGAGGATCATGACACCTTCCCTAATGGGGAAGTTGGGACAGGAGGGGTGGGGTCAGCAGGAATCCCAGCAGGCTTTTCTCAGGGGGAGGGAATTCACTCCCCCCTCAACAATAATAGCCAATATCATGGAGCCTCACCCATCTGCCATTCTAAGCGCTTTATATATATTAACCTCTCAATAGCTCTGTGGGGCACGGATGGTTAGTGTTCCCATTTTGCAGATGAGGAAACTGAGGACAATGAGGTTGAGTAATGTGCTCAAGGCCACACAAGTGGTAAGGAGCAGAGGACGAAGACGTTACACCCAAGGGGCCTGGTTCCCGGGTCTGTGCCCAGGATCTCCAGCTCCCTTTCCTCATGCTGTCTGGAGGTTCTCCACCAAAGGGGCAGTTGCAGCCTCGAGGCAGAGCCTTGGGTGCTGATGGATTTCCCCACAGCCCCCCAGAGCTTCCCAGGTCAATGGCTTTGCTGCACAAAGTAGCCGGCAGACTGGAAGACTCCTGCCCTCTCGGGAGAGTTGCCCTGGAGGAGCCCCAGCACCCCTTCCCCTGCCTCCTGCCTCCCACCGGGCTCCCTGGGGTGGAGGAATGGGCCTCCTAGACCCTTGGGGGCTCAGGGTACCTGAAGGGCATCTGAAGGGCTCCAGCGGGTCCTGCCTGTGCCGTCCCTGGCTGTGGTTCTCCCTCTCCGTCTAGACCCTCTCACAGGGTCCTCACTTGAACATGAGGAGGCTGGACTGGGCAATCCCAAAGGGCCCTTCCAGCTCTGTATGTCGTGGTTCTGGGAGATGGAAAGAGGTGAGAGGTGCCTCACCCAAGCCTCCCAGGAGGTCTTCATGGACATACCATATCTCTGGGCAACCTTGGTGTTAGTGCCTCAAACTCTGACTCAGGTGCAGGAGGCGATTCTGAGTGTGCTGCCCGCTCGCCAGCTGCTGGACTCCCTACCAGCTCCCTCCGCAGGAGCCCAAGGAGTTGGGAATGGATGTGGGGAAAGGAGCCCCACCTCACTGCGTGCGGAGTGTGGTGATAGCACCAGGTTGTTTTCTGGGCCCGACAGCACCTGGAAAGGTCACTGGCCTGTGTCCGATAGGAGGTGGGAGTCCAGCTGGGTTCTGCCCTGACTCCTCTGTGGCGGTGACAAGGCCCCTGCTCTCTCTGGATCTCAGTCTTCTCTCCCTTAGGCCCCTTTATGTGGAAGCGACCCACCCTCAGGCCTGGGCCTCTCCTCCTCCATCCACACCTGCCCCTCAGATGGCTCAGCCACACCTAGCCTGAAATGCCCTCTAGCCATGGATGACTCCTGCATTGGGTGCCTCCAGCCCTCACCTCGCTCCTGAACTGCAAACTTGTATGTCCCCTTGCCTGGGCAGTGTCGCTACTTGGATGCCCAAGAGCTTCTCAGAGTTTTCAGGCTCAGTCTGACTTCCTGACCTTCCTCCTGCCATCCTGCAGTCAACCGCAGACTTCACTGTCTCTGTGACTGGCAAATCTGCCTTTCAGTTATTCTGGCCCAAACCCTTGAAGTCAGTTTTCACTTTTTCTTTACATCCTATATCTATTCTTTCAGTAATCCTGTGGGCTTCTACCTCTAAAATATTTCTAAAACCCAGCCGGGCACAGTGGCTCACGCCCGTAATCTCAGTATTTTGGGAGGTGGAAGCAGGTGGATCACCTGAGGTCAGGAGTTTGAAACCAGCCAAACCAACATGAAGAAACCCCGTCTCTACTAAAAAAACAAAATTAGCCAGGCATGGTGGTACATGCCTATAATCCCAGCTACTATGGAGGCTGAGGCAGGAGAATTGCTTGAACCCAGGAGGCAGAGGTGTCGGTGAGCCGACATTATGCCATTGCTCCAGCCTGGCAACAACAGTAAAAAACTCTGTCTCAAAAAAAAAAAAAAAATTCCAAAATCCAACCTCTTTGCCCTGTCTTCACCTAGACCACCCGAGGCCGAACTCTCCCTCTCTTTTTCTCTGTCTCTCTTATACTATAGCAGCCTCCTCAGAGGCTTCCCTAATTCTGCCTTTGTCCTGTCCCTTCACAGCCTGTTCCCTTCACAGCTGGAGAGACCCCTTTAAAATGTAAATCAGATCCCGTCCCTCCTCTGCTCCAAAGCCCCCCAGGACTCCCACTTCAGCAGAGTGAATGGAAGGTCCAGTGGCCTGTGAAGTCCACAGTTGTACCCCTCCCCCGCACCAGTCTCTCTGGCCTCCTCCCTCTTCCTTAATGCACCAGGCCCTTTCCTGCCTCAGGACCTTTGTACTGGCTGCTCCTTCCGCCTGGAAGGCTGTTCCCCCAGAAATCCCTGTGGTCACTGCCTTGCTCTCTTCCGTCTTTGTGCTGCTACCCTCTCCTCAGAAGCCTGCTGTTGCCCATGAACTCATAACCCGCTGCATCTCCTGGCGGCTCTGTCTCCCTCCGGGGCACGTGTCGCTGCCTGCCACACTCCCGAGTTTGCTTCCTGTCTTTACCTTGTTTGTGGTCTGTTTCAGTCGTCCTAGGATCTTGCTTCTGCTTCCCTGTGGAGTGTGAGTTCCAAAGGGCTGAGATTTTGTCTGTTCACTACCCTGTCACCAGTGCCTGGAATGGTGCCTCAAACCTAGTAGGGGCTCATTTCCTGATCACCCAAATAAAAGGAGTCTGAAATAAAATAGCTCACAGGACAAACTCAACAGCCCCTACAATCGGCCCTGGGTGTTGAGGCCCAGGGCTGGCTCCTGGGTTTCTGTCTGGGAGGGGAGGAATAGGCGCCCTCATCACCTCTCTCCCGAGGACTGTAGCACCTCCTGCTGGCCTCCAGCCTCCACTTGTGCTGTCCTGGCTCTAAGTGGGCTCGGGTGACTTCCAGGCGTTGAATCCCCAGTGGCGCTGCTTGCAAGCCCTGCTTGGGCGGACTGCGCTGCCCTCTGGCACTCGGCTCACCCCTGCCACAAGGGCTTGGAGCCCACCAGTGCTCCTCAGCCTTTGCGTTCGCTGTTCCTTCTTCCGGGAGGCCCTTGCTCCAGCTCTCTGCACAAATGGCTCGTTCCCTTCATTCAGGCTTCAAATCAAATGTCACCTCCTCCAGGAGGCCTTCCCTGACCCATCTCGGGGACAAAGCAGCCCCCCAAATCCTACTCAGTCACTCTCCCTCCTACTTCCTTATCTGATGCCTAAAAGGTTGATTTATCTCCTTTAGTTTTTGGAGTCTGTCTCTCCCTGTGAGGATGGATGCCTTGTTCACTGCTGCATCCTGGGACATTCTGTCGCTCACGGTGGCTTGTGGGCCCTGCCTCCTCGCCAGGCAGGGGAAGGCATGCCTGCTCTGAGCTTCTCTCCACCATCCCCATTGTTTGCTCACCTCAATCATTTTGTTTTCTTCTTCTTCGATGGGCTCCGTGGGGTCTGCAGGACCTTCCTCCCCAGACCTCTGCCATATACTCAGGGATTTCTTTTGCCCTTTATTCCGTTCCCTTTCCTAGGGGCAGAGCAGAAAATTGCACAAAACCACCCTCCCTCAATCCACCCTGATGGCCCCTCGCCAGTCCCCTTCTGCCCAGGGTGCTAACTGCCCCAGGCTCCTACAGATGGAAAGAACCCCTTCCCCCAGGAGCGTCCTGGATGAGGAATCTCAGATACTAACTAGGTGGCTCATGGATGGCCCTTGGGGTTGTCCACCCGCAGGTCAACTTGAAGAGGAATCCATTCCTTTGTAGTTAAAACATTGCACCCAGATTGTTGCTGTTAATTAACTTAAAAAGCTGGAAATAATGGCTGCCCTTCATGCATATTAAGTGGGAAAATGTGTCTTTCTTAGCAGAGAGCCTATAAAAAAGGTAGCAAGACAGCTTAGCCTGGGAGGGCGCCATGGGGTGGCCCAGGAACTCAGAGTCCCTGGGAGGTAATTTATAAGAGGCAAGGCAGGGTATAAATTATGGAGGAGGGAGTTTGCAGCTTCTTCATAAAAATCCTGGTGCCTGACAATTATGAGGAGAAAAACCATGGAGCAGATTAATGCACAGTGTCCTTTGTTGCCATTTCGCGGGTTTGACTGTTCCTGTCCAGCCCCCAATCTTGCCCATCGTCCTGCTGGCCGGGTCCCCAAGTGCTGAGATTTTCATTCCTCGGCTTTCTCTAACGACACTCTCGGGACTCTGCTGTTGGCCTGCCCTGAGACAAGGCAGGGTCATCCTGGGGAGAGTGCCCGCGTAGCAGAAGGTGTGTTGGGGCCTGCTGCTGCACCTACCAGTTTCCCATGTCTGCTTGAAGAGGGGGCTGGATTCAGCCTTGCCTCTGAAAAGAGCCCTGTCCACTGGGAATATGGATCCCCCCAGACTCCCCCCATACCGCCCCCCACACCTCCCCCTCACCTCCCCCTCACCTCCCCGCACAGAGTGTGCAGTTGCAGACAGGCTGTGCCCCAGAGCCTCAAGACCCCTCTGGGCACTGACTCCTGTATTCATCCCTATTGGAGTCTCAGTCTTAGAGAGGGTGGAGCATGAAAGTTCTCTCTTCATCTCCTTGGGTTAAAGAGAACCAAATGTCTGCATAGACACTCAGCATCCCCAGAGGTCTGAAGTAAAGGCAGCAGGGAGGCAGAGCCAGCAGTTCTGTTTTCCTTAGGCTCTGCTGCCTGAGTTCCATGAGGCCTGCCTGGCTCTCTTCTGGGCCCTAAAGAGGAGGAGGCTTTGGCCACTGCTACCTAAACCGAAGCCGCGCTTCCCACTTCTGGGTGTCAGCTCCTATTGGTCCCTTGCTCCTGATCTCTCAAAGCCCCCTGCTGAGTTCCACCTTTTCCCTGCAGGCTTCCAAGCACATGCAGCCCTTGGTGATTCTCCCTCTTCTGCATCTGAGCACTTAGCATCGGCACCGCTGACGGGCAATTCATCATGTCCTGCCTGTGACATCTCTCTTTTGTCTTCAACTGTTAGTTAATTTTTCATATGTTCGTGTCTTGGCGCCCCAGCCTGCTCCCTGGAGACGGGGAGGTGCTGAGATTCTTTTGCATGCTCAGGCCCATTGCCCAGGGTGGCCTCTTGTACTGCAGAGCAGCTCAGTAAATATTTATTGGCTTGTTAATTTAAAATTTCCTCCAAAGGACAGGTAGGGGTGGGAAAGATGTTGCTCATTCGAACCACCGACATCTCTGAGTGATGCCAGTGCAGGCGAAAAGGTGGCAAGAGAGGTGGCTGGGACTGGGGGTTACCTTGGGTCCTGATCCTGCACACTTTCCTTGGTATCGCTGGCATAGATCATTAAGCATGGTTTACCAAAGGAGCACAGTGCTTCAGAGAGACTAGCACCACTTCAGGGCTGGGCAGGGCTGCGAAGGACCTCAGCCTTGCTAGCAAGGCGGGCAGCAGGGGGCTCTTACCTGCATCTTCTGGAGTTCACCATAGGTGAAGATGGGGACGAAGGCTTCCGTCTGGGTGGCCAGCATGGCAGCTGTGTGCACCACCAGCAGAGCAGCCACAGTCTTACGGGATACCATCCTGGAGCTGGACAATGACAAGGAGCTCTTGTCACCTGGTTTGGGGTGCAGTGGCAGACTGCTGCATCCGAAGCAGGGGCCCTCAGTTCTGGCCCATGCTCCACCTCTAGCTGTGTGATCTTGAGCCAGAGTTCAGCCTTTCTGGACATGGGCCTGGTAGCAGAGCTTTAGCAGGCGAGCTCTGAGCAGCTTTCTGCCCCAGAGCGGGGGCAGCTGACCAAGCTCGGGGGAAAGGCCATCCAGCCCCCTGCCACATACCAGGGAGGAATCATTTCACTTGTCCACTCTTCTCTTTGTTACAGGTGAGGGCTTCTGGGGTCAGCTGGGCTCATAGGGCAGGAGGAACCTCATCTTTCAGAGAAGAAACTCCTAGATTATCAGCAGAACTGTGCCCCAAGACCCAGGGATACCTCCCTGCTCCAGTGCCTATAAGAATGACAAGAGAAGTGGACCCACAAGCCAGCTAATTGCTGACCAGGAAGCGGGAATGTGTGGAATGGCTGGCAGGACATTGGGCTGTGGTGGGCTTTTGGAGCTCGGGTCCTGCCGGGGAGCAGGTGGGGCATGGTGACTGCAGGGGTGCAGAGCCTTGAGAGAAGGTCCACTAGGCAGACTTCAGGCAGGGACAGTGGTCCTGGGGTGGGGGTGGTGCAGCCTGGCTGAGTGCCAGCCTCAGTTGACTCATTCAAAGGCAGCAGGGGCTGAAACCTTGGCCTTTTGAAGCCCATTGCTTTTCCCAATACCCCACTCCACGTTGCCTCTGCCCATAAGAAGGCAGAGGAAGGCACAGGGGCAGGCCTGTGGAATGCGTTGTGGGCACCACTTTCCTGCACTGGGTGAACTGCTGAGTGCAGGGACCAAGCCTCTGAGCAGGGAAGGGAGAGCAGGACAGCCCCTGCAGCAGTAGGGGCAGGGGTGGAAGTGGTTACAAGGCTTCAGATAAAGCACTCCCCCAGTCCTTGGGCAGCCTGGCTTCTGTCAGCAGGACAGAGTCTGCTCCAGAAAGGCCTCTGGGCTCCTCGGCAGGTCTCAGCCTGGCTCTCCCTTTGAATAGAACCTTCCCAGGCTGTAGGCTTGCCTCCTGCCTCTCAGCCAGGACCTGTCTTCTCAGTCATCTGAAACCACCTCTACCAAGCCGGACGCTCCCTTTGCCTTCTTGCTGTTCCTGCCCTCTCTTCCTCCCACTTTCTATTTTCTCTCCATTTTGTTCAAACTCCATGAACAAGAACAAGAGAGCTCAGACAGCCAAAGCCTCCCACCTCAGCTGCATGCAAATTCTCAGCAGGCTGAAAGGACCACCCACCCACTCAAGACCACCTCCCAGGAAGCAGAGGCCCTGTGTGGAGCCCCAGAGGAGCTCGAGCTGAACAGAGAATGGGTGGGGGTGGGTGGGGTGGGCCCCATCACTTTTCCTCCCTTCTCGTTCCTGTCCTTTCCCTGAAGAGTCTCCGGGGCCCACTTTTCTCCCCAGCGGAGATGGATGTGTCACATTTATGGCGTCCCATTTCCTTCACAGAGATGCTATAGATCCTGTTTCATTCTGTTGTTTGTATTTAATTCACTCCACAGGAATCAATAACAACTTTAAATAAAAAAAGGCAAAATCCAATTGCTGCTCATTTTCTTGATCCACCTGGCAGTCGGCATGTCACCTACGTTCTCATGTGTTCTGGTGAGCTAGGAGCAGAAAGGGGAGCTTATCATTGCACAGTGAGAAGCTGGCTTTCCTTTCCCATCATTAGAGATGGGGCCTTCAGCCTTCAAGTGCTCAGCTCTGCAGGAGGCTGTGCCTGGCCACTCTCCCCTGCAGTAGTCCTGGCTGGACTAGCCTGGCTTCCCCATGTGCTCTCCCTTGGGACCAGCTTTTTCTTACCTTTCCAGAACAAAGCCGCCATGCCAAGAGGGGCCCTGCACCGGTGATGAGCTCTGGCTTGGGTTCTCGGCCTGCCATGGATGTGCCAGACCCATTCACAACAGTCTCTGCGTTGCCAGGAGTTGCACCCACCTGCTTCCCTCGAGCCTCTGTGCCTCGGCCCTGTCTCTGCTCACTGAGGTTCTGGGAATCCACTCAGGCACTCAGTGCGAAGCCCAGCTGGGCACTGGAAGGTGGCAGAAGGGCCCTGGAGCAGGCTGGCTCTGGCTAGCCCCACCATTCTGCTTTAGAGCTGATGCTGACCACTCCCCTCCCACTTTCTCTGAGGGCTACTTACGGCGTGCACGGGTCAAAGTGGGTCTGGAGGAGTCTCTCTCTGCTTGTCTTCTGGTGTTGGGGCTGGTCTGATGGGCTGTTATATACCTCGCAACCCTGGGAGCTAGCCTTGGAGCCCATTAACCTTTGACCACAGCTTTGGGGGCCCTCGGTGGGGGCGCCTGGATTCTCAAAGCTCGTGGAAACCCGGGCAGGGGCGGCCATGCTAAGGGCTTCCAGGGCTTTCCTGGAAGGAACAGTGACAGCCGGAATTCAGTGAAGCCGGCCCCCACCCAGGTGGCATTCTCCCAACCACTGACAACTCAGCTGTCTCTCAGAGGTCATTTTAACAAAAGCCTTTGCTTTTTTTGTGCCTTAAATATGTGACATTGGTGAGCATCTGCAGGCCAACGCTCTAGCGATCAGACTTTCTGCTGGCCTGTCAGAACTCTATATTGGAAATATAACTTCTCTTCAGTCTTCCCCCGAAGCCCCTTGTGAAAAAAAGTGTTCAGGAGTTTGTGGCAGCATTTCAGTGGATTAATGAAAAGAAAATGACTGAGTCCAGACACGGGGCTGTGTGGGGCCAGATGCCGCTAAGGAGCTGAGGAAATGTACAGGGGTGATGGCGTGGAAGGTCTGGACGCTGCAGCCTAAATGGGGAGATGGACACCTACTGGGCAATGTTTCATGGGAATCATGCAGTTCCAACAGTGCATATAAAGATTCAATGTGGGAAGAGGGAAGAGGCGACTATGATCTGGGGTCAGACCTGGTTGCTGCTCTGGGGCTGGCCGGGGCCATTTCTGGAGTGCAGCATTACTCAGAAAATGCTTGACATGAACGTTCTGATTAAACACAGCAACCCCATGAGGTGGGCGTGTTTATTTCCCCCATTCAGTAGATGAGGAAACCAAGGCACTGTTAGATAGCTCATCTGTGACTCCCCTGCAAGGTTTCTTCATACGAGGGGCAAGGCCAGATGTGGCCAGGTGCAGAAGAGGGCAGGAGTGAGGGCCTCTGGGGACTGGGGCGTGCACAGGCTTAGAATCATGCGGTATTGTCACAGGAGGTCCCCTGCGTGGGCTGGGATCCGCTCAGTCAAGTCTGAGTGTGAGGGCCCTTAGCAACCAAGCAGAAGGATTTAGATTTGATGGAGGGAATGGAGTACTGGGGGTCCTCATGCTACTGTGAATGGAGTATTAGGGGTCCTCATGATACCCTGAAAACATCACTCTGGAAGACCTCTACTTTTCCGGGTACCTGCACTGGACCAGGCAGAGGCTGAGGTGGGGTACAGTCTTGGCGTGGAATCTCGAGGGTCTGGGTGGGCAGTGGCCATTTTCCCAGGAGACCTATACTGGCCAGTAGCACCTTGCAGAGAGGCTGCTCTGCACATCCAGAGGGGCACTGCTTCTTGTCCAAGAGCCCCTGTGCAGCTGGTCCTTGGGTCTGCTCTGGCTCTTCCACTCAGAAACAAATGTTTACAGTGCTTTAAACCTGACGTAGATAACTTCTACCTTCCCTGCTCAGCAAGGGTTAATGAAAACAGATGGCAGCTGGTGTCCTGACCTCCTTGCTTTCCTCCAGCAGGGCCTTTCCGTGCAGTAGTCCACTCTGCACCCACGGTTAGAACTCAGCACACTGGACCAGCGGCTGTTGTGAGATGCGCAGTGTGGCTCTGAAGTCTGAGGCTTAGGAATGAGAGCTCCAAATGCCGGAGTTTGCAGGGGAGTTGCCAGCCCTTAACCTCCGGCCTTGTTGGAGTCTTACTGTCCCTGTTTCAAGAGGGGCTTTTAGGAAGAGGTCACTGGGCCAGGCGAGGCAGCTGACACCTGTAATCCCAGCATTTGGGAGGCTGAGGCAGGAGGATTGCTTGAAGCCCAGGAGTTCAAGACCAATTTGGGAAACATAGCAAGGCCTCATCTCTTACAAGAAATAAAAACAATTAGCTAGATACGGTGGCATGCACTGTGGTCTCAGCTACTTGGCAGGCTGAGGTGGGAGGATCATTTGAGCCTGGGAGGTGGAAGATAGAGTGAGCCACAATTATCCCACTGCTCTCCAGCGTCGGCAACACAGTGAGATCCCGTCCCTTAACAAAACAAAACAAAACCAAAAGATAAAGTCACAGACCTTGGTGGGGGCAGAGTAGTCCCTTGAGGATGTGGAAGTAATCTGTCAGCTTCTCAGGCTCAGGGATGCCCTGGGGGGCTCCATCCATAAGCATGGGCTGCTGTCACCATGATGTCATGCAGGTGACATCACACCTGCCTTTCTAGCATCTAGACCTGGATAGGCAGAATAAAGCTCATGGGCCAAACCAGCCTGCCACTCATTTTTTTTTTTAAGACTGTGAGCTAAAAGTTTTCACACTTTAAATTTATTTTTATTAATTTTTTTTTTGAGACAGGGTTTCGCTCTTGTTGCCCAGGCTGGAGTGTCATGGTGTTATCTGAGCTTACTGCAACCTTCACCTCCCGGGTTCAAGCAGTTCTCCTGCCTCAGCCTCTCAAGTAGCTGGGATTATAGGCATGCGCCACCAGGCCCAGGTGATTTTGTATTTTTAGTAGGGACGGGGTTTCTCCATGTTGGTCAGGCTGGTCTTGAACTCCCAACCTCAGATGATCTGCCCACCTCCGCCTCCCAAAGTGCTGGGATTACAGGCGTGAGCCACCACGCCCGGCGCATTTTTTAACAATTTAAATATCAAAAGAATATTTAGTGACACGTGAATTTAATTTCCATGCTCATAAATACAGTTTTGTTGGAACAGAGCCAGTATTCGTTTATATGTTACCTATGGCTGCTTTTGGACTCTAACAGCAGAGTTGAAGTAGCTGTGGCTGAGACCTATGGCTCACAAAGCTGAACATATTTATTATATGGACCTTTATAGAAAGTGTTTGCTCGTGCCTGACCTCGACAGTGTCTGGAGCATGTGATCAATAACATCCAGATGTTACACGTATCTGCTGTTTTAAACCTCACACAGCCCTGAGGTTGGTGTGGTTATTATCCCAAACTACATGTGGGGAAACTGAGGTGGAACAACTGACCCAAGGTCACACGGCTATTCAAATGGCCAGGCCAGGATTCAAATGCAGGGAGTCTGGCTTCAGAATCAAGCTTTGTTTTGTTTTTATTTTTGTTTATTTATTGATTTTTTTAAGTTGCTATGCTCTTCTGCCCCTCATTGTTTGGTAAGTACACATAAGTATGTTTATCGCCAGGGAAGACACAAAACAGTGGCCTGGTGTAGTTCTGCAGACGTGCCAGTCTCTCCTCCAGCCGTCCCCACGAGGTCTCTGAGCACAGTGCAGTCCAACCTGACCATTGTGCTTGTGTGTTCCTGGGTTTGCAGAGGCCAGGCCTGGGCTGGGAGGAGGACTGCAGATGGCAGAGCAGGCTTATCCACTGAGCACAAGGAGACATCTGAGGCCGCTTCCCCAGGGCCCCTCCACAGTAGGGCTCTGAGATCCGTGCCCTGCCTCTGCTGGATCAGTCTGGGCTCTGGTCCAGAGACGCCTCCAAGACATTCTGTCTGAGAAATGATTAGGAGCCTCCAAGCCCGAGACAGGCCTGTAGTGAGAGATCGGGAGAAGGGAAGTGCCAGGGACGTAAATAACCCGGGATCAATTTTCTGGGTGTGAATAGCACTAACCTGGATCTCTCCCATGATTCAGTGTTTCTGACCCAAGTAATTTGCAGTATTACAGTGTGACATCTGCGGTTTGGTGTGGAAGGCAAACCAGGGTTCATAATGAGCTATGCCTGCTGATGCACAAGGGGAATGTAGACTCACAGGGGCTCCGGGTCTCGTTTGGAGTCTCAAGCTGCTAGGAGGCAGTGGCCTCCCCACACACTCCTCTGGACTGCAGACCATGTGGGCCAGCCCTTTGGGAACTGTCTCGCCCAGAATACGCCTTCTCTCCCCTTTGTGCATTGGTCCTTGCCGAGCATTTTCCACTGCCACGGTTAGTGCTTTGGAAATGGAGCTGGGTGGATAACAAGCCTAATAAGCACGACTTTGTCTTTACCATGTACCTTGGCTCTCTCTACAAATGCTCAATTAGTGGCTGTTTCTCTCTTGCTAGAAACTGGACAAAAATAAAAGGAAGGCGTGATCTGATGTTCTTCATTTTCCAAGTGGGAATTGCCACGGATATGCGGCAACCCAGGCAGAGGGGAGGCATAGAAACCTAACCCAAGTCTGGGAAAGGAAGTTGACAAAACTCAGAGGAAATGGCTCAAACCACTTGTGAGCACTTGATTGACTTTTTCTCCCACAGTGGACAGAGGTATTAGCAGTTTAGCTCTCCTCTCCTCGTGACCTTGAAAATATTGTTTGCCGGGTACTGCCGTAACATCTTCATTAATGGTCTGTAACAGGGAGGCAACGGCATGTTAATTAAATTTGCAGATGATACTAAATTGGGAGATGAAGCAAACATCAGGGAGGACAGGGATCTAATACCAGAATATGTTGGGAGCTAGAACTGCATGCTGGAAATGGCCCAGTGGGCTGCTGGACAAATGTCACCAAGGCCCTGAGGACACAGGATGGAGGATATGGGTGAGAGAGAGGGACCAGCCAAGAAGAAAAGGTGCTCCTGGAGGTTCCTGGGGGCTCCTAGGGGCGCGGCAGCTTGAACACTGCCTTGTTCTCCAGATGGGTTCCTCAGAGAGCCAGAGGACAGTGGCCAGACCAAGGCAGAGTTCAGAGGAGCCGACGCAGCCTAAGGATTGCAGGAGTGCCAAAGCTGAAGGAATATTAATGAAAAATGAAAGGTTTCAAAAGGTTGGCTTGCCCAGAACGCTGGTAAGAATTAAATGTGCATCGTTCATGTTAAGCAAAGGCCAAGGCGAGGCAAAGAACCCAGGTGCAGGAGGGAGGGCAGGAGGAGAGAGAGTTGCTGCCGAGCCTGCGCATCTAAAGTCCTGGATTCCCCTTACAGAGCCAGAGGTGTGCGACTGGACTCACAAGCAAAAATATGAGTGGACGGTGACGATGTTTAAAACTGGGCCAAGCAAAACACTGAGAGATGTATTTTGGGCAACAACTGTGCCCTGGCCCAGGGG